GGGGCTCGATCTCGGCTCAACGATACTGCAGCGACCTGAACAAAGATGAATTTATGACAAAAATATTAAAAAGGAATGGAGCAAACCCGCTTCTTTTTCAGGCACGCCATTCCTCAAAACACTGTTACTTTTCATCCTTCCCTTCCTGCCCAAAATGAAGCTAGAAGACTGGAATTCTGAAGGGATGTTTCCTGGCAGTCTTGGCGGCCCGTCTGAAATTCTTTTAGCTAGAAGCATGTACAGGAAGAAACAGTGCCGTTAGCGACAAAAATCTGCCGGGAACAATGCAAAAAATACATCTTCACACGGGCTGTCACTTGTGATCCTGCATAAACTGTGCCCAAAACGGTACATTTTTCTCCCGGTCCATTACTTGCCCAATAACGATATTACTTTCAAGCCTTATCTCACCACCAACTTCAAGAGTTCGTAGTTATGCATCAGGCTGCTACTATCGAACACTTTTTCGTAATCAAGTTTAGCATCAGGTTGCTACTATCGAACACTTTTTCGTATTCGTAATCAACGTTGAGGAGGAAAGAAGGCCCAAATGTGATTTATTCTGCTATATTTACCTCAAAAATCAGTATAGCTCCTTCGGTCGTTGTTCATTGAGGAACCCTACTATTCGATTAGCAAAAAACCTCGTTAAGAGTTCGTGAACGTAAAAAAACATCAATTTGTTCGGATTCATGTGTAGTAATTGTAACTATAAAAAGAAATGATGAAGCTTACTACGATCCGTGCGCAAAGAAGGCTGTCCGGATGTAAGCCGGGCACGATTTTTCGTAACGATAGAATAGGTAACTTTCACAGCTTCAATCAGACAGAGTAAGAAGTTGAGTAGAGAGATGAAAAGTGCCGTGATATCGATTACATAGGCTGTCGAATGTACCTTCTCAAGATGCATAAACAATGCAATGAATCCAGCAGGAATGGCGCAGTGGAGAACGAAAATCTGAAGCACATCGACAACAGACTTATTTGTTTGAAGGACAGCTATGTCGTTGAAAAAGTGATAAACCACAACCCGCCCACGCTTATCACTGTTCCTCTGAGGAAATAAAGGCATTCAAAAGCAGCTTCATCTGCTACTAGAAGTCAACAACTGGTAAGGCTTTTGAGGGATTTTTCTTGAGGTTTGTTCAGAAGCAAGCTGTTAAAGATTTCGACCTTACAAGCACCAGTATTGATTTACCATTAAAAAACCAACCAACAAATAAAGTGCTTAAGCTAGGAAGCTGAAATTTGAGGCAGATGCTCCCTACCGTGTGTTCTCGCAGACTTAAATCTAGCCCCCAAAAAGTACACCTAGGTCTCATGTACGAGCACGTGAAAATAATTAACTCCAGTACTGAAAAAGCTAGAAAGCTGAAATTTTACAAGGATATTCTTCGCGGATGTGCA